AAAGGAATAAGATATACCAGTGCCTGCTAAATGCCAGATGTTTTAATTAAATTCTCACAATAACCCAATGAAAGGAGATGAGATTTGTTTTTGTTAACAAATGGGTAAAAAAACGGAGGCTCAGAATGACATTATAACTTTGCATAAACCACAAAGTTGGTAAGAGGCAGGGTTAGGACCTGACTCTGTTACCTTGCATTGCCTTTCCAGCTTCCCAGGCAGCTTTCCTCCAGTGGTGAGGAATCCATTCAAACTCTTACCGATTCTCTCAGAGGTGGGGCACTGGCCAATCGGCTGAACTGTGTAACATTTGAAGAAACGTGGGATTAGCTCTATTCTGCTTTCACGGATGAGGTTGGATCAGAATCAGCCCATGCAAGAACATGTTTGTGTCACAACTACCCCATCTTTCACATTTGTTGGATAATCATGCCTTTTTTTTTCTTTTTTTTTCCCCTGGGCTGGGCACTCAATCTTGCCTCTGGATCTCTTTTTCTGAAGGATGGCCATTCTAGCAGCTTCTCAGTCAACCCTTTGCACTACCACCTCCTCACCCCACACCTGACCTTCAATCTCTGAAATGAGCCTATAAGTCTCGTCTCATACTCCATCTTCCATTAAGGCACTATTCAGGCTAGATGCTGTATTAAATTTCATCCCAGAAAGAACAGAGAGAAGTAATCCCTTCCTTCTCTGAGCTTGTGCAACCCATTATCTAGGCTTCTCTTGCTAAGCTTATATCACTTAATTAACATCAGCTATTCATTTAATCGCTTGGTTCTCTTCCACTTCCCTAAGCTCCAGAACATTGTCTTTTTCTCCTCCTTAAGTTCTCCTGCTCATACAATATATTTTCTAATTTGTATGGTGAGTGAGTTAATAGAGAAAAAACCCACTCATAAACATTAACAACTAACTTATATATTAACAGGCAGAGTAGAGTTTCTGCTTGACTTCCTTTGATTTTTGCTTGTCCTCTGACCTGTGGTCATCAGAACTGTGTAGAGAGCCAATGGTCCATCTATTCTACTGTATCTGGTTCTTTTGAGGTGTAATGAGTACCCTTTATTCCTTCCATCTACTCAGGCAGAATTCCCTTCCAGATCCTAGAATGGTTATGGGGACAAGTTTTAAGACCTTTAGCAATGCTCTAGAGTACCTCAGCCAGCCATGACTGGGTCAATTCATAGCCTGTGAAACTCTTAACACTTGGCTTGCTTCTTTGCATTATTGGAGTTTTCCAGCTGCTTCTGAAGAGGTTTCAGGAAACTTTGTTTAACTTGAGGTTGTTTCTTGGGTGGATCTGAATCTCATTTCACAAATTCAAGGATGCAAGTAATGTAACTTGATCTTTATTTCAAGCCTTTGTTCTTTAGGTAGAACTTAATTCCTGTGGATTAAAGTACTAACCCATTACTGTTTGCTTTTAGGTTTTGGAGGGTCTTATACAATGTTGAGCATAATGAGTTGGGGAAGCCCTTAGGGTACGCATCCTCAGCCACATGATTGTTCCACCTGGTCCTTGGTGTTTGGTTCCCACAAGTTGCCCTGGGATATCCTTAGTTCTTATTTATAAGAGTGCTTTATGTCCATTAGTGTTCTCTTCTATTCCCGTTGGACCCTTGAGAACATATAATGAGCCATAGATAATGGAGAAGCTGTCTCAGATTCATCCATATGCAAGACATTCTTGCAGCCCTTGCTACTTTTCTACCTTTTTCGGCAAATGGAATCATTCTGCTGCTCCTGCACCAGCTGGAGCTGGGAAACTCTCTGAGGCCATTGGAGGCACTATCTTCCTAGACATACCTTGCAGTTACTCTTCCCTAGAGTCTTGACTTTTTCCAAAGTTCTATCTGGGCATAGGGCATATGTCTGTTTTTCTCAGAGTCCATACACATGTGTGGGGTTGCTGTGTCCCAGGGATCTTTTTTCATTGGATCTTATTTTTAATTTTAATTCATACATTTCTCATTTCATCTCCAGTACTTTCTCCTCCTCTCTCTCACCACCTAGGTTGGAGAATCATATTCTATCCTAGGAGACTTTTTATTCGTCATGTAATCTTCTAAATCAATGTCTGTTTTTTGATTCTCCAAAGGATATAGGCTTCTGAGAATCAAAAGCAGGAAGACACTCCTGTTTGTTTGCTATTTGTTGTCATATGCCTTCCCTGAAGTAACAACCAGAGAAGAGTTTGGCTACTGATTTCATTTGCAGCACAGTAGGGCGGTAGGGATGATAAGGGAGTAGTGAGAAGAGCAAAGGGAAACAGTAGATATTAGAGGAAGAAGTTAAATACCGTTTGCAATTTTATTGTGCAACATGGCATCACATAGATGTGTGACCGTCATGCTATCTTGGACCCTGAGCAGCCTCTTGGACCCACACTGATCTCAGCCAACATCTCTAGGACAATTCTCTATGTCCTGTAGCTTCCTCATAGTTTTAGGACCAGCTTCTATACTGGTTACTTGGTCTCTAAGCTTCTCTCCTCTTCACAAGGAGGATAATAATAGAATTTAAGCCAGAATTCAACAACCTCCTCTCATGCTGTAGGCACTTGGGCAGTAATAACTATTATTAATAAGTGATAATAAAAGTGGTTAATGGCAGATTACTATTTGATTCTCTCCTTTTTCAAACTTTGAAACAAAATTGATATTTCTGTAGAATAATGATTTTTCATTCTCTGATTTACCAATACAGTTCCAAACATTAGCACAGTTTTACTTTAGCATCTTTCTGGATTCTTTTCTCACCCATCCAGCCTTTCTTACTCCCATCTGCTTATCTTTTTCTCCTTCATAAACAAAGTATTCCTCTTCAGTCAGCTCTCCTGCCCTGACACCACCCTGTCAGCATCGTAAACAATGCAGATGTTCCGAACTTCTGCAAGTGGTCATAAGCTAACGCAGCAGAGGTGCTTCTGGAAAGGTATGGGCAAATGAGGAAGGTCTCCATGCACCCAGAGCAGGTAGTACGCAAAGGAAACCAGAGGTGGAGTCTAGGCAAAGTGAACAATCTTCCCTAATCTGTCTTGTAAAGACAACTCACTTGTTTCACAGCTTTCCTTTAGTTGAAGAAACTCAGGTATAATTTGTCTTAAATATTCAATAAAGTCTTCATGTAACAAAAATAAAATTCAGTCCAGAAAGTGCCAAGGCTGCCACTTCTTTGTTCATATCTTATTTTTTGTGTCTATCAAGCCGCTTGCCCTGTGAGAAATGGAATGAATCCTTTGTGTTCTCTGTTAATGGACAGGGTTGTTGTGTGAACTCTACAAATCTTAGTGAAGACAGAGATTCTAAGCTATGCCCTAGCAGAGCACCATATTCCACAAGTTAGACCGACATGTTACCATGAAATTCAAATGATTGCCTTTTCCCAATTTGCCAAAGACCTTTAAACCCCTAAACTCATGGTTAGACAGCTCGGTATGTACGTGCACGCAAACATTCATTTGTTTCGTATCAAAAACATTAACAGTTGCTTTAACTCTTTCACTAAATTGATCAATTGACACATGTAGAAATTGAACTATTTTATTAATGTTCAGTTGCTTTGCTGCTGCTTATACTGCATATTAATAGAATAACTGGAATAACTGTTCATAGTTAGATAAATTGCCTCTTGTTCTTGCTTTTCATGAACACTGGCTAATAGTTTTGTAATGCAGTCTTTCCAACTCTTTTCACAGCAGGGCATCTGTATACAGTAATAATAGTTTATATGGGACACTGGGGTAAGCAGCTTAGGAACTTGGCTCCCCAGGGGCTGAGGGGATCAGTGTCACAGCACATGTGTATCCTTTTCAAGCTGTATCAGTGTGCGTGGGCTGGGAAGCTGGATTATGGTGTATTGCAGACTTCACGTAGTTCTCATTTCTACTAATAGCACTGTTTTCTTGATCTTGAGATGGCATTAAATATTTCGTTAATCATCAGTGTTCTGCTTCATATTGTGCAGAAGGGTACTATTGCTCTCTGGCTGTTACCCCTGGGAGGTTTAAGAGCCACTAGGAGATAAAGTATATGAGTTCATGCACCTGTGCCAGGAAAGTTTCTAATCACTCTGTGACACTTCTGGGCCTCTCCAGCTTGACGAGTCACTGGTTCCAGATGGCTTCAAGCTCTCTGGCTTTGAAACATGGCCATTAGGTCTTGCAGGGAGGTCAGTTTTATTGGTGTACTCCATAGGAAGAGCTTGTATAAGAAGTGAAAAGAGGGAATACACTCTGCGGGGTCTTTGCTGGGTGGATGACCTGGGCCTCCACCCCATGCTCCTTCTCCAACCAGATAATTTCCCGTGAACACTTAATACAGAGTTCGATGCCCCTTGGGGTTCAAATGGGAAGAGACGACCAGGCTGCATGTTCTGTGCACATCTCTACAAAGCTGGTTGTGTCTGGTCTCCTTCTATGTGCTGGGCCGCCGTGGACTCTCCTCCTTCCTTCTCACACATTCATTCCTTTCTCCTAGTCTCAAAACAGTCAGACATACTTAAATATATATGCTTAAAAACACTTTTAAAATACTTTAATAAATATAAAACTTTCCCCTCTTTTATTTGCATTTAAATAAAGTATTCTTCCTCCACTCCTCATATGTTAGTGGAACTGTGATATGCTGATATAGGGGGAAAAGGGACTGAGTCCTGGAATTCACGATTCCCGGGTTTAAGTTGAAGGGCTGCCATTTATCCAGCTAAATGGTCCAGTTCAGCTAATTTCTGAGCCTTATTGATAAAATGAGACTGGGGATGCCTGTCCCGTTTCCCTCTCAGGGCTGATCTGAAGATCAAAGGAGATCTCATGTAGGTAAAGCTCTAAAAAATGAAAGGTAGATACGATTTGTTATTATATTAAAAGTGGCCAGTGAGTCCTAAGGGCAGCGGCAATGTCTTGTCAGAACTCAAATACTTCTGAAGAGTTGGTGCGTGTGGCTGTGGTGTGATAAAGCTGACATGAGCTCTCCCTGTTACTCCCCCTCATCCTGCAGAGTAACCTGATACACTACCTGGGTCTTAGCCATCATCTGCTCGCACTGAACTTTATCATCGTTTCTTTCGGCAAGAAAAGTGCATGGTCATCTGCTCAAGTGAAGGTGACCGACACTGACTTTGACGGCGTGGAAGTCAGAGTGTTTGAAGGCCCTCCAAAGCCAGAAGAGCCGCTGAAACGCAGCGTTGTTTACATCCATGGAGGAGGCTGGGCCTTGGCAAGTGCAAGTATGTCCCGGTCACCTTCAGGCTATTTGTGGTTGTGGCTGTCCTGGCAGAGATACGTGACTGAGTTGGCTTTCTTACTGGGTAAAGAGAAGGGGTATCTGTTTGACTCCCCCTGGACAGTCCCATTTACCCCTATTGTCCACCAGTTCCATTCTTGAAAGGGTCCCGTTTTGGATGATTAATTATATGGTCACCCTTAATAAAGTTTTTTGCCCATTTGTTAATTCAGGCAGACTGTTTTGAAAATATTTCCTGTGACCTAAATCATAGAATAATGTATTATAAAGTACTGAAGTTACTTTCTGCACCAAAACAAGGTGAAGTTTCATTGGGCCAGAATAGAAGGGAATTATCTGTAGCTCTACGCCAACTTGTGTTTGGAAGACATCTTTCTATGAAATAGAACAAGTGTTTCTGAATACACACATAAACTCATCAGCATTTCATCTGCTTATTAAACCAAAGATAAAAATATAAAATGTATGCTGCTGTTAAAAGGAAATGATCCTGCAAAGTTCAAGAATATTCTCTTCAGCACTGGATAACTTTCATGAGCAGAACACATTGAAAATGTCAGGCAGCCACATGGAGCAGCCCAGTCAAAAACATACTAAGGAGAAAGTAAGGGCCTTATCTCTGCTCATAATTATTATGGAGTTACTTTCTCATCTTCAACCCAGAGCTTTTGTCATCCTGTAAGTTTCAGGCAACGACAACTTGTTCTGATTTGTCTTTTTTTTAAATAACTTTTTTTTTTAATGCAGCAAAGGCCAAAACTATAACTTTTTCTAGTAATCTCATTTCATTTAACTCCATAGGCATCATTTATTCTTTTATTCATTGATTTGTTCACATTTCCAACAGATGTTTGCTGAATATGTAGGTTTGCCCAGGACTGAGGGGTTTCTTGGGGTGTGGGACTTTCAGTACAAAACCTCAAACAGTTTGTGCATACCTGGACCTTTGGTCACCCTAATGTGAGCCAGGTGATAGGGATACAGAAAGGAGTAAGACAGAGTCTCTTCCCTAGAAAACATCGCATCTGTAGCATTGAGCACTTGCCAAGTGAGATGTTACATCGGAGGCCAGGAAGTATAAGTGCCAGGAATGGTATGGATTATGTCAACCTGGACTTTTTCACATAATTTTGACTGATCATTTCTGCCAGAGGGAGAGCTCAAGCTGGGAGATGTATGCAGGTGGTTATATAGTTATTGTGCTTCTGGGTCTAAGGCTACCTTGGAAAGCCTATAAATGAGATAATGTTTGGCTGTCTGTTGACATAGTGCAGCTCTTAATTTATTGAAAGAACAGCTAAGTGATTAAACTTTTACATATAAAATTGCTTTTATCACTGCAAATCTTTCGATTCTCTTTCTAAGAAATGCTAAGGCTTCCTAAACTTCTAGTTTGTTATGTGTTGGTTTTAATCAACAGAATACCGTATTCTTCAAATTGGTAACTTTTCTGAATTACAGCAAATAAGCGTGTTAAAAGAGAAGAAATTCTTGGTTCTGAGGAGGAAACTGCTTATTTGCTATGATTTTTGGAAAGGCATACATTTGAAGAACCACAAAATCAGACTTAATTTGATGCATTTCATATAGTCCATTATGAAATAAATGTTTAGTTAGTTGAAAACACATTCCAAGCTAATCTAAAATGGATCTCCTGTTCTTTTATAATAATTGCGTTTTATCAGAAGCCAGATTTATGTTTTTGCTTTTGTACATGTAACTCTGTTAATGAAATGTATGTTCATATTTGCTTTTTATTATTAATAACTTAAATCCAAGTCTAAAAACAATCCACAATTAGCAGAGTTTAAGAATGAACAGTATTAAATGAACTGCTTTATAGTGAGTGATTGCTCCTTTGTCTCTTTTAGAAATCAGGTATTATGATGAACTGTGTACAGCAATGGCTGAGGAACTGAATGCTGTCATTGTCTCCATTGAGTAAGTAACTAATAGTCACAGAGAAAAATTTAAGAAGGGGTCCTAGATTACTGTTTAGTTTCTTTATTTTATAATTGATAGAGTGTAAAATAAAAGTCCAGAGAGGTGAAGTGGTGAATGTTCCCAAATTCACAGAAAGTGATTTCTGATACAATTTATAATTTTTTGAACTAGCTTTATAATGCCTCAAATTCTTTTTATTTCAGTCTTGCAAACTTATAGAAAAGGAATTAACTAAAATTGAGAGAAACATACAACCAGTTATCTACAGTATATGGTTTGATTACTGCCTTTTTAGACCTAAAAACCAGTCAGCATTTTAAGAGAATCTTTCCTACAACCAAGCGTTGGAAAAGTTGTTCTCCTGAAATCAGGTTCTGTAACTCTGGCCTTGTAAATAGTAGCATGTTCAATAAATCTTAGTTGATGCAGCTACTACTACCACTATTAGTGTTAGTATTCTAAGAAGAATGTGAATAATGATTATGACGATTGCAGTGATGGCAGTAATACAAAAGTCGTGGTACCTGCCCTGTGGCAGGCACTGTGCGGGTGCCATTGTGTGCATTGTCTCTTTTCCTTCCGATCTTTGCTCAGATGGCATTCTTTCAGCAAGGCCTTCCTTGACACCCCTATTTAAAACTGCAGTCCACTTTTTTCCTGCTGTTTTTCCCCCAAAATTATCAACATCTGACAAACCATATATTTAACTTATTATATTGTACTGGGTAGAAATAGACAATGTAAGTTCCATGAAGGCAGAGATTTTAGGGATTTTTGTCTGTTTTGTTCATTGCTGGTCCTTAGTGTTAGAAATGTCCCTGGCAAATAGTGGACATTTGTGATATTGTGGTTTGTAAGAAATATATATTTAGTCATTCAGATGACCAAAATATATTTTTCATATATATTTGATCTTTGTCCAAAGTTCCTGGATCACAGCTCCCCAAATCCTTGAAATTTCCTAAGTTTTCAGAGTGTTAAAGTGCCTTTTGTTATATGAGTGAGGTGACTTTTGGAAGCACCTAAGTATGGGGGCTGGTTACCAGGAGAACCAACCATGTGGTTA